CTGCCAGTGCCGGGGCCGCCCTTAGGCTCACCCGCACCCAACACCGGGTCGTCCTTTTTGGGGCACAGGCCGAAGGCCGTGGGGAAACCGTAAGGATGCGGGAAAAGCGGCGGGGGCAGCTTTTGTAAGAGGCCAAAGCCTTTGCTAGGCACCGGGATCACCGGGTAGCTGCGAACACCGGCGCCGCCACCAGGCCCTCCAGGGCCAGCCGGGCCAGTAGCTCCCGCCGCCAGGCCAAGTCCGCGCTGAGGGTGAGGAGGAGGTGGCCCTGGAGGCCCCGCAGCTTCATCTTCGCCGCAGCGCAGGCTTTTGTGGGGCGGCGGGCCTGGGGCCATCTCCGCGCCGCACCCCGCGCCGCCACCGCCACCGCCGCCAGCACCACCCTTTCCCTGCCCACCCGACCCGCCGTTCGCGCCGCCTCCACCGCCTCCTTGCAGCGAGAAGGTCCGCTTGCGTGTGCCGCCATTGAACATGGCCTTGACGTCCTCCCAAGCGTGGCTCAGTTCGTCAGTGGCCGACTTGTCACTGAGTTTGAGGTGACGGCGCCACGAGTTGAAGTTGGCGGCGTCGGGCTGCGTGTACTTGGCGTCGGGCGTGCGGTGCGAGTGGAAGATGAACTTGTTGGGCGAGAAGTACATGCTGCAGTAGCCGCACTTGATGCACTTGGCGCGCGAGCTGTTGTAGCGCGCGGGGATGAAGCTGCCACGCGAGCCCCACGCGCACTCGTGCACCACATCGAAGGCGAAGTTCTCGGGCAGCTTGGGCGGCTTGTGCTCTCCCAAGAACGACTTGCACAGGCGTTCGGCCTCGCGCTTCGTGATCATGCCGCAGCGGCGCGAGGAGATGGGCATGGCCCCAGCCCGACGCAGAATCTCCAGCTGCACCGGCGTGCACTGCACGCACGTGATGCCCAGGGCCACGCGGCGGTTGTGGATCTCATTGTAGCTGTAGTTCTTGAGGAGGGTGTTGGAGATCTGCGCCAGGCACAGGCGCTCCTGGCCGTCGATGACCAGGGACACGATAGGCACCCCATACAGCGACGTTTCGCCCACCTGGTTGGGTTTGAGAGCGCTGGAACCCGAGTACGGCTGCAGCTCCTGCTTGGAGTTGGGCGAGGGACTGCCCTCGCGTCCCGGCCCCAGCTGAGTGGTGAGAGCTTCCATGCCGCCGCTCCTGCGAAACAGAGAAAGCAGAGAGCAGATGAGCCATGTTGAACGCAGCCGCCGCGGCTTTAGCCCGCCCAGCGGGGCGCGCCGAGTCGGAAGCGCCGGGACACTGGGCAGTGGGGAGTCCAAGCCCTGACGGGCGCCTTTTGTTATTCAGATCGCTGTTGGCGCCAGAACAAAGCCCCTGAGGTCTGTGAGGGGGAGGTAATGAAGACCTTAGGAATGCCTAGGCGGCAAGGAACCCAATCCCCCCCCTTTTTTTTGATTGGGGAGGAGGTGAGATCCAGAGAGGGAGAGTGACTTGCCCAGGGCCACACAGCAAAGCCATTGCTGAAACCAGGCTTTCAGGCGCTCGGATCGTTGCTCCTTCAGACACCCTTGCGCCCCGCCCCTCTGCTCAGTCGCGCATGCACGCGGGCGGGCGGGGGCAGCGCGAGGAAGGGTGGGGGTTGGGAGAGGGGCGGTCACTGCCCATCTCCAGACAGTGGGTGGGGGGAGGTGAGGGGGCAGGGAGAAGGGGAGGGGACCCAGGGGCTGCCTGCGAGGGAAGGAGGCGGAGGCGACCGCTGTTCGCGGTGCTGAACTCGACCCTCTCCAAAGTGCGCCCTGAGCGCCCAGATCCAGGGAGTCCCTCAAGCACGCAGCTCTGTGCGGGGCCGGCTTCCGGGGACAACAGAGCCGGTTTCCACAAACGCAAGCTTCTCCTTTCGAGCCGGACGCCCCGCGTTCGTTGAGCAGAAAGATTTTGGCTGGATATATAAACTGCTTTCCTTTCAGCCATCAGCAGAACCAGGCGGTTCCTAACGCGGCCTCTGCATTTTTAGGTTCCTTCCAGACCAAAGCTGGTTTCCATCGGGGTCAGCACGTGGGACAGAGATGTTCTCAAGGAAGTTCCTCGGGAACCACTTCTCTTCTGTCTTCCAGGTGCCCACCCCCTGAGCCTTCCTCCTTCAAATACTCCTTTCTCACGCAGGCCAAGCGCAGGCACCGGAGGCTCGGAGCTTCCTGTTTGGGGGGGTCTCCTCTCTGAGTATCCTTCATGCCCTGCTGTCCTGGCTCGGTCGGGGTGGAAGGGATCTGAGCCGGCTTCACGCCACTACAAGGCTCCAGGCTCCAAAGTTGTGCCAGTCCTGTACTTTGCTCTCCCGTCCAGGCAGAGAGGCAGCTCCGCTGCAGACTTCAGTAATGGGTGGATCTGGGGACTGAGGCTGGGGGTCCTCTAGGTCCCCCGGCCCAGCCTCGTGTCCTCAGATGTGCAAGACTTCCATCCCTCCCAGGGCAGCAAGCGTTTCCACTGCCCGGGGCACAGCCCTGAGGGCCCCTCCCCTAACTCAGCCAGAAAGCACATCCATTTTCAGAGGGCGGTTGCAGTCTGACAGTGGATCTGGGTTCAAAAGGCTTCGGGAGGAGACTGGAATTTTGTCCATCTGTCTCTCACCCTCCCTATTTGTCCAAGCGCCCCTGCTTGTCGATCTTATCTGTCGCTGAGCTGTTTCTGCCAGCTCGCTCCTCTTTCTCCCATCTGTCTTCGTACCTTCTTCAAGTATCAGGCTATTTATCTATTCTCTGCTTCATCTTTATCACCGCGGACTGAACTGAGACAAGTTGGCCCTTCCTTCTCGTTGAAGTCTCCTGTACCATTTTAGGAGGCAAAGCCGCCGTTCTAAGTCGTTGACTGAGGGGTCAGCAAAACAAACCCCCGCGCCCTCCTGGAGGTTTCTCTGCGGGCTGCAAAGTGGCTGGGGCGCGCGGTTCCCGAAACCGGCCCGTGTGCCCGGCCCGCATGCAATGAAGAGAGCTCGCGAACCTAGAGCATCTCCCCCAAGCTGAGGGGCCTGGGTCCCCTGGGGTTTTCCCGAGTGACAGGAGGGGGCTCCAGGCCCCAGAGCCAGAGATGAGGGGCCCTAGGCAAGAAACAGAATTTCGGGGGCCAAAGCGGAAAGCACGGACCAAGGGCGGTCCGCAGCGGCAGAGAGCAGCGCTGGGGCAGCCCGGGGGACCTCAGCCTTCTCCTCGGGCGTCAGGGTAAGCGTGGGGGGCACTGAGGTGGGAGGCGGGCAGCGATGGAGCGAGGCGGTGGAGTCGTTAGGCATAATAACAAAAACAACAGCTACAGGAGCCCAAATCAAAACTAAACGAAAAGAAAGCGGTAGGACAGGGCGCGGGGGCGACGGGCGGCCGGACGCGGGGACTCACCGTGCGGCGGCGGCTGGAGCCCGGCGGGCGCAGAGCGGAGGTGCGCGGCGGGCGGAGCGACGGGCGGGAGTCC